TATTACTGCCCCACCTCCCAAAAAAGTGTGAGAATTGGAGAGACACTTTCTTGGCATCTAGTTGGATTTCTAAATGTATTTTCTGAGAAACGTATAGAAAATGGTTGTTAGACATAGTTGAAAATAGTCAAGTTAGTAGTAAATAAGCTGAGGGCTGGCCTGAGAACCTATCTACCATTTATAACATTTTCTATGGGAAGCTGAGTTATGAGCAACTGAAAATAAACGAACATGAGCTGCATCCCATTTGTACATCAGAGCCAGCCTTTGGTGAGAGGAATAAATGAGATAAAATGAGAAAGCACAGTTTCACAGATTGTTTGCCTCAGAGCGCTGTTAAATGATGGAATAGATTCCTCATATTCAATGCCTACTTCTTTAACCATTGATTTGAAGTGCTTCAAAAAAAGAACCAATACATACTCAGCAGGATTGGGAGTAATTTATTGTGATTGTCTTTGTTCAGCTTTGAAAACTAAGGCATTGATATTAAGACTAAAGAGAAATTACATAGAGCTGGTGTGATTGAAAAAAGTTTGGCTCTTTCGAGTGATTTTTTTGTTTTTAATGCCAGAGAGTTAAGCTTTAAAAGCACGCTTCATTGAATCCCATCCAAGCCTCCTAGGACAGGGCTGGGGGACCTTTTTTCTATTGAGGGCCAGTGACCCACAAAGAAAAAAACTAATCAAGGGCCATGTACAAAAAGCAACTTAATTTAGGTGCTTCCTTAGAAAACCATAAAGCATTGAATTCACCTGCTTTTTAAATTAAGAACAAGGAATTCTAACAAGTACAACAAATAAAAAAAACCCTTCAGTTTCATATTATGCACCATTTAAGAGGTGGGGTGGGGTCAGAGAGAACTACATGGGTAGAGTGAAAAGAGAGTGGAAAGCAGACAGGAGAGTCTTGAGGGACTAGAAGCGATACATGAAGAAGAAACTATATGTCAAGAGTCATGGAAGCAGGAGATTGAATTAGGGAAATATGGGAGAGAAATGCCAGTTGTAGATCATAATCTACTATTCGCTAAGGTAGTAGACTAATCGTCAACTGCTATAACCAGCTGTTCCACAGCTGGCATTCAGAAGCCTTTCTAGCAACAATTCTTAAGGAAGGGTCAGAATCACCTAGAGCCCTTGTTAAAAAGTACCAGTGTCCAATGCTACCCCCACAGTGGCTGTCTACCTGTCCCATCTTTATTCTGTTGTCCTCGTGTTCAGCTCTCTCAGCCTAAAGGAAAATTTATGGCATCTTTCTTCAATGAGAAGAATATAAGATCACCGGGCTTAGAAAGGAAATCTCCAGAAAGAAAAGATTTCTCACTCAGACACAGCATTTTAGAAACAGTCTCAAACACATAAGACAGAATGCCTTTCAAATAATATGCACGCCCTAGCTTTCAAAATAAACCATTTTGGGTGCTTAAAGTAGAAATATTCAAGTTTAAAAAAAAAACTGAATTAGTTGCTCGAGTCTTCAAAGATTTTTTACCAGAATATGGAGCTATAATTTCATTTTCAAATGTACCCAGACTTGTCCTCCTTTTCCTCCCTGTGCTTCTCATTAGCACTAACTAGTTATGGCACTGAATCCCCAGTAGCCCAAGTATGTCTTGGGGTTTAATTCACAAGTATGTCTTGGACTACGTGTGTCACAGGGCTTTTGGCAAGAATGTCAAATTACATTTTCAAGTAATGCTTTTTAGAAATGCAGACAGGATAAGTGGTGCATTCAGAGCTATATGGCCCAAAGTGCGAACTTTGCACTGAGGGGCAGATGACTTTGCCAACAGAAACATTAGCCAAGTATCTACCCTGTTGTTGTCCTTTACATAAGGCAAGCCTTTCACCATTAGACAAAATCTTCCCGGAAAGATCTCTCTGAGATGAAAGTGCACTATTTTTTTTCTTTTTAAAATTAGGTATTGCAGGCCAGGCACGGTGGCTCATTCTTGTAATCCCAGTACTTTAGGAGGCCGAGGCGGGCGGATCACCTGAGGTCAGGAGTTTGAGACCAGCCTGGCCAACATGGTGAAACCCTGTCTCTACTAAAAATACAAAAATTAGCCTGGCATGGTGGCACATGCCTGTAATCCCAGTTACTTGGGAGGCGGAGGCACGAGAATCCCTTGAACCCAGGAGGCGGAGGTTGCAGTGAGCTGAGATCACTACACTGTACTCCAGCCTGGGCAGTAGACTGAGATTCTGTCTCAGAAAGGAAAGAAAGAAAGAAAGAAAGAAAGAGAGAAAGAGAGAGAGAGAGAGAGAGGGAGGGAGGGAGGGAGGGAGGGAGGGAGGAAGGAAAGAAGGAAAGAAGGAAGGAAAGGGGCACCAAAACAAAGTCATGCCCCAGTGTTCCAGTATCAACAAGTCTCGATAAGGTTCTGCTTGAAGGTCACTGGTGGAGATGAGATGGGTGGAGTGCCTGGGCCACTCTGGGCCTTTAATGTGTGCCAGTGTAAATGGTGCCATCCACTCGGACCAGGTTACTAGGAAAACTTTTATTGCTGCTACCCGTTTTTGAAGGGTATATCCTTAGTATAAATTTCCTGTGGGTGAGTTTAAGCCTGTCAACATCTAGCACCTTCTTCAACAGAGAAAATTATTATTTCCTGCTGTCTCTTGGTATTTTCTTGCTTTGAGGTGTATGTGTGTGTGTGCGCATGTGTTTGTGCATGTACCCATGTACATTGGGGGCAGGGAAAAAAGATGGGTACTTTTCTGTGAACTTAGAAACCTATTTTGATAGGATCCAGTAAGTGACCCTTATGTGTGAACCCTGTTGACATTAGGTGAGCATAGTTTATTTTCCAAACTCACAAGTTATTTTGCCTTAAAAATTCATCCATACCACAATGGAATCTTTGCAGGTGCTTGAAAAAACAGCCTATCCTATAATGAATTTTAGCTTATAACAATCTTTAAAAATTTTATTGAAAGTCTTTATTATGAAGTAATTCATTTGAACCATCCTCTGTGGGTTCTCATTCTGAGCAATCCAATTCATTTTCTAGAGGGGGTATGAGTGTAATATGTATTATTTAATATAGCGACAGCACTGTACTATTTGGGGGCCTTCATATTGTTTTATGTGTTAAGACTATAATGGAGGGAACCCTTACCTCAACCCTGAAACCAGGAGACAGCTGAATCTTTCTATGTTAATTATGTGTCCCAGTACCAAAGGCCTGCTGTGAACTTGTTAAGCCAGTGAAGAGGGAGTTTTGTTTTTGGTTGTAACAAAGGTGTTTCCATAAAACCAAGCCGTAGCAACCCCTCTTCTGTCACTAACGAGATCTAAGATATTCTGCAGTCTCACAGCTCTAAACTTGATTACACAACCTTTTTTTTTTTTTTTTCCTTTTTTTACTGTTAGAATTATCTGTTGACCACGGTTTTCAGAAATGCCAAAAGAAACTTTTAGCAGTTTCTGGATGAGGAAGTTATTTGAAGATTGTTGCCCTTTCTGCCTTCCTTACATTGTCCTTTAATGCTGCATACTCCCCTTTTTTGGGGGCAGTAACATTCTCCTTACTTTTTAATTGCCAGGAAGGAAGAATGATCGGGAACATATATGATTATATAATTATTTGCATATGTGCAGTAGACAATCTAGTGTTAGTCAAATAAATTGCCAGCTCAATTTTATCTGAAATACCCTGCTACCCTAAAGCTGCTTTGATATCTCTATTAGGCGAAGCCCTATTTCCTGTAAGTACACATGGCCAAGAAACAGCAATGACCAGCTCATGGACCATTTCGTTTTCCATGATTAGTGTTGTTTGAATGATTAGCTTTTAATTCCCCATCACTTTGTTGATTGGACACACTTACCATTGACAGGTTCATATGTCTTCAATATACTCATTCCTGAGTTCCTCAGATCACCTCTGTCTTCGGACCCGTTTTGACTTACATAGAACACGGACAGCAATAGCAGAAGGAACAGTGAAAGTCAATCCTTGTAAACATGTGTACAAAATTATACCACACCAATTAATATTGGAGAGACTGAAGTGATAGTAGCTAGTGGGGTTTATTTTTGAGTGGCATTGCATCTTGTGGTCATTATGAGGGAAGAGACATTGTCTCTTCAAAGCACAATTTTTGTTCTGTGACGGAGAACAAGGGGGGAACTCTGGGGCGTATAGAAAAAAACCTCACCTTCAAACTGCAAGTGAAATGCAGTTGCTATAAGTGGGGGAAATACTTCGTGGGTTGGGTTGCTGTGGAGTGATGTCTTTGACATTTCCCTTGACTCTTGGGGCTGCATCACTACATAAAGGCGTTTATTGGAAGTTGTTGGTCTATACTGGGATGATGCTACATATACAGAATCATAGGGTAGATATAGTCTCTGACATCTGCACAGAATACATTGGATTAAAAAAAATCTGAAACTTAAGAATTGAGGATTACCATTACCCCTTTGTGATTTATCATAGGCTCAGATCATCCAGCATAAACCCCTATAGTTTCCTCTTTGCTGACAACCCTTGAAATGCACAAATCCCTTTGTTTCCCCACAGTATAACTATTGCACATATATTTGCTCAGTTTTTGTCTGTTGTCACATATTTTATAAATCATTCGTCATTAAGGACAATCTCTCTTGGAGTGTAAACTCCCAAATCTGGAAAAACTGTGTCTCGTTTGCATGACTTCTGCAGTATTTAGCATAGAATATGAGAATCTCTGGGAATTTATAAAAGAGACTTTAGTTGACATGGAATACTATATTGTTTATTGACCACACCAATTTTCCTGTGGTTTAGCCATCTCTCTGATTGGAAAGTTCTTTTGCTTTTTGGAGAGGGCTTTATTTATTTTCTCAAAAAGGGAATGAATATTTTTAGGCTTCCTGGAACTTGTTAGGTACACATAATGCCTGGGCCTTTGCAGGAACCTCACAGGTTGAAATGAACCTAAATCAAACCCTTCCCTCTTAGACTTGATGAATGATGATAGACATTGACTGTCCTACTTTTTATCTTGCAGGTGATCATTTGAAGATCTGCCCCCAGGGTTCTACCTGCTGCTCTCAAGAGATGGAGGAGAAGTACAGCCTGCAAAGTAAAGATGATTTCAAAAGTGTGGTCAGCGAACAGTGCAATCATTTGCAGGCTGTCTTTGCTTCACGTTACAAGAAGTTTGATGGTATGTTATTCAAGTCATATGTAAGAGCCGGCAGTTAAGTCTGTACTGTAGCTTTTTCACAGCTCCTCTGCTCCCTCAGTGCTTAAGTTTTCTCCCAAGATGTTGTCGTTGTTGGATACCAGAGACGAGTTAGCCCCGTAGCTTTATGGCTAGAACACTTCCGGATGCACTGGAATCTGTATGGTAGGCATTATGGAAATATGGTCACAAGGAGCCAAAAAATAGATTAGTTTAACTTAAATGCTTTCATTTATTTTCTTGGATGAACACAGAATAGTGTTATTGACGCAAATCCCTTTTTAGAAAGAAAGACCTCCTAATAAAAAGCAGGCATCTGAAAACTGTCTTAGTCAAAATAGAGAGAATTTACAGATGCTAGACTTCAAATTAAATTTCAAAATGAATCCCCAAAGACAACTAGAATTCCTAAAAGTTTTGCGGAACATGGACAGGATTAAAGTTCTTGAGTTTCCATGCAGCAGAGACCCAAAAGTAGCTATTTTACTATAGTCTTCATTAAGCTGGGCTCCATCCAGCCTCACATTAACTGAAGCTCTTGCATAGTCTTTCCATGTAAAAGCCACAACAGAACCCATTCTAATCACCTGTGCCAGACATGACTTCTCACAGGCACACTTTCTCTTAATATTGAAGAAATAGCCAATATGAGCCAATTGAGAGTGTACTTTGGTCCTATCTGAACAATGGCACAGATAACAGACTTTAAAAAATAGAATATGGAGTCCAAAACACCTCAGGATTCTTTTCCCTGGTGCTGTTCACTCAGTTTGAAGATTGTTATGAAGTAGATTTAGTTTTAAGAGGAATGATTTCCTTTGTGCCTGTTTTAAAGGCCATTCTAATTACATAGTACCTTTGAAGCATGCTTTTCTTGACATTATGTGTGGTGAAGAAGTACAAGACAAATTTTCTAGATATGAAATGTCTTTGAATATTTCTGCAAAGGGCTTGTTACCATGGTGAGAAAGTTAGACTAAATTAGATTTGATATAGCTGATAAGGCAGTCCTCAGTTAAAGAACAGGTTGTATTTCAAATGTTGGCTTTGAGATTTGTTATTTCAAACTTATAGCCAATTTAATAAGTGTTAGGTTCCCAGGTGAGACCACAAAAGCATATTTAATCTATAATGTAGTTGAACTAAAACACTGTCTATGTAGTATGCCATTGATCCTACCCATTTTTTCAAACACACTATGTGGAAAATTGTATCTTAGTTCTATTACCTTTCCCTGGATGAATGGGAACAATTTATATATCTATATATCTTTCTTATTACCCACATCCCTCTACATATATGCTGTAGCTGTTAAGAATATTTAACAGTATGTTAATACCACATGAAAATGGGTGTTACTGGCAAAATCTATCATTAGACCTCCCCTGTCTCTCCTGATCACTGAATTATTATTATTGAAAATAATGGTGTTTTCTTCACTATGACATTTCTCATTCAAGATAATAACCTAAGTCTTTTCTTTTACTTTGGGGAGAAAACTTAGATAATTAAATGGTCATCTTTGAAAACTTAAGATGTTGATATTTAAAAATCACCACTTAGGGGCTTCATAATGGAATTTAGAAGGAAAAAAAAAATCTGCTCTTTAGAAATGACTCTCCTGTTGGCAGCACAATGTAGTGGAGATAGAGTTGTTTCTAAGTTCCAAGGCCTTCTACTCCAAGCCACCTCATTTCTTGTTAGACTTCTGTCTTCCTGGCAGGGAGCCCACAGTCATTGCCTATGGGCCTGCTGGTTTAGCTATTCTTTTCCCTTCTCGCTCCCCATGGTTTTATAGCACTACTATGATTCCAATGTGTACGTTTTTTTTGTTTTGTTTTGCTTTCTTTTTTCTTCTTAAACCATACAGAGAAACTTTATCTGTAAGTGTTAACATGTGTTTTTTAAAAAGGATAGAAAAACAGTTTTTCTTGCTCTTCCCTACCAGGCTTCACATTCAATAAATATGTTAACACTATGCCTTGATCAGTTTCAAAACTTTAATGATTATGAAACTCCAGTGTTTTTTTCTGACTTCAAATTAAAATATGGCATAGGCTGGGCACGGTGGCTCATGTCTGTAATCCCAGCACTTTAGGAGGCCACGGTGGGCAGATTGCTTAAGCCCAGGAGTTCGAGAGCAGCCTGAGCAACATGACGAAACCCTGTCTCTACTAAAAATACGAAACTTAGCCAGGAGTGGTGGTGTGTGCCTATGGTCCCAGCTATTTGGGAGGTTGAGGTGAGAGGAACACTTGAGCCTGGGAGTTCAAGGCTGCAGTGAGCCAAGATCATGCCACTGCACTCCAGCCTAGGCAACAGAACAAGACCCTGTCTCAAAACAAATAAATGAAATAATATAACAAAATACAGCATAGACAATAAAGTTAGGGAACATAGATACAAGTGTTTTTTAAATAGGTAGTAGCTGAAATGTATTTGATCTAGAGATCAGTATACTGGAATGCTGGAATACTGGAATGCCAGAATACTTTGCACATTTTCTCCATGTTAGGTTACAGAAACAATGAGATAATTTTATAAAAATCTTAGTTGACTGGTACTAATAGTTGACTATGAATATGCAAATCATAGTCCCCTTGTGGGTGCTGCATTGATTGACTAATTTTTTTGTTTGTTTGTTTTGAGATGGAGCCTTGCTCTGTTGCCCAGGCTGGAGTGCAGTGGCACAATCTTGGCTCACTGCAACCTCCACCTCCTGGGTTCAAGTGATTCTCCTGTCTCAGCCTCCCAAGTAGCTGGGATTACAGGCACACACCACCACACCCAGCTAATTTTTGTATTTTTAATAGAGACGTGGTTTCACCATGTTGGCCAGGCTAGTCTCGAACTCCTGACCTCAGGTGATCCGCCCACCTCGGCCTCCCAAAGCGCTGGGATTACAGGCGTGAGCCACCACGCCTGCCGATGATTGACTAATTTTTAAGACTGTCAATTAGGACTTGCCAGTAATTCTCAAGGCCTGCCAATCCAAGGGCATTGATTAACAGGCTGCCTATAGGATATGTCTTGATTTTCAGAAATTCAAGGGTAGATGCTTTGGTCAAAGAATTATCCAAACTATTATAATAGCTAAACCCTGGCTCTTTGGTGTGAATTGAAGAGAGAAATTTGGGCAGACTAAAAAGTTGGTGGTAGGGAACCAAGATGGAGCAGTGAAGTTGCACAGAGACAGCTGGGGACATATAGTAAGGAAATAGTAAAAGGACACATGGAAATATTCTGGGTCAGGCAACTTCAAGGGAGTACCTTTTGTCATCTGCAAGCTTATAGTGTAAATTCAAAGTGGTGACCTTGACCCCAGAGAACTTTGTCTACCATCAAAACCTGTCTATGTCTATGAGATACTACTTCTTTCTAAGGTAGAAATAATTACTTTTAAAGTAATTATTGAAAAAGAAAAAACTTTCCAACAAAAAGTTTGGGGGCTTGTAGAGAGTTAGCCTTCTGTTACCGGAAATAATTCCATTATCCCAGTTTTCCATCATTCTTCCTCAGTTGACCCTGGTCAGGGTTATAGTTGCCAGCTCTGGCATTTTTGGAGTCATTGGATTTGAGAGATGAGTCCCTTCTCCAGGTCCCTTACCTCTAAGGCCCTTTTTTTGTTCTGTACTTTTAATTTTCTATCGTTTGTACATCTCAAGAGACTACACTCTGTATCAGTTTTTAAGATATAAACGTGTGTGTGTTTGGATTTGGGTGAAGTACAAGAGAAAACTTCCTCCGCCTCAAAAATTATCACATTTCTTATATTTTAAATACATATAACTGAGTTTAAAGATTGGTCTCTATGTTTTTGTATGCTGTCATTTTTCAAACCCACTTTATAACTTAGGGTGTTTAATACCAGAAATCTGCTATCTGCTGGAGACAGAGCCAGATTGTGGTAGTGACAGAGCTAGGTGCTCCCCCTCTTGGCCAATTCTGGGAATTTTTTGATAGTAGAGCTGCTAATTAACTTAGCTGAATTAGTCATCTCATGAATATGCTAATCACATACTTAATTCAGGAGGGAGTTAGGGAAAATTGCTTGGCAAAGGGAATAGAAATAGAAGTGGGGCATAATCCGTGTTTTGGGACTACAGCATGAAGACCCATCCCCAAATGCCTGGCATTTTGTGAGAAAATAGTTTTTAAAAGAAGCATAGTTAAAAACCCAAATAGGTTAAGGTGATTACAGCTGCCACGTTAAATGTATTTCTGAATTACCTAGTAAAAATGATGTTATAATTATGAAGTAATATCATTGCTATATAACTGCCTGTATCAAACTGTAGATATTTTGCATGTTTGAAGAACTAAGGAAATGCATGTTGTCTGATGCTAGTCTATTGGGAAAACTCCTTTGTCATTTTTAGAGCAAATTTAGCAACTTTGGATGGGAGGCAGTGCACAGTGAATTATCATCCTAGTTCTGCAGTGAACCCACTGTGACTGTGACCTGGGGCAATTAATTGAGTCTCAGTTTTCCCATCCATAAAATGAGGGGGTTGAGCTAGATGCTCTCTAAAACCCTTTCAATTCTACCAATTCTGTGAATCTTTTAAACATGTGACTAGACCAGCTGCTTTAGTGAAAGGCCTTACAAGATGTTAATTAGCCGTCTGTATGGTACCCTCTATTTTCCCTCTATCATTTTTTAACTCTCAGCTACTTTCACCAGGTCTTTGAAAAACCCTCCCATGAGCCTGAAGCTTGTTAACTTGAATAATAGTAGAAATTTTCTGAATTAGCTTAAAACGCACATAAAAGAAATAATTGTCTGTCCCATCTATCTGCATGGGCCAAGTGTAAACCAAGCAGCTACCCTTCCCTTAAGCCCTAAGGCCCCTTGTTTCCTATCACTTCACAGAGGCAGGGCACGAAGCACTCTTCAGACTTAGCAGAATCTGCGTTTTAATCACTAACTGCAAATTTTCTGTAGTTCATATTAGCCATTAACCAGTGCAGAGGCTGAGTGG